ATAACAGCAAGCAGGAGGAGGTTGGGAGGGTCCTCACCACCCCACCTGCCTTTCCATGCCAAGCCTCACTGCATGTCTGTCGTTGGGTTTTTCCAGTGGTGTCCACTTCTTCTTCCTTGTGTGACTCCACTCTGGGATGGCACAGTCTCATAAACACAAGGGTGCATGAAGACGTGGATTCTTCAGGTCCAGAAAGTAAACCAGTCCAGCATAAGGTGTCACAGTCACAGAGAACTCAGCTGGGTGGTTGAAACAAAATCTTGGTCTTTTTTAACTTTCTGGACTTGAACTATTGTGCCAGAACTGCTTATTGTTGAGGAAAGCATAGAGCATGAGTAATGGTGTAGGACAGAGTTTCATGGGGAGGGGGGGGGGGACCACAGCTTAATTATTTAGGTACAAACATCTATTTATAGAGGGGTTAATGAATCCAAATTTAAATATTGAGGGGTTCACGTCCCCCTGCCACCCCAGTTCCTATGCCCCAGGGATCAGGGCAGGCGGCACCGTGGATCCTTGGATGAGATACTAGCAGTTATCATGCTAATTATGTTGTTCTGTTGCAAGTTCAGCATTCAGTTATTGCTCTTGTTTTAAAAACAATTTCAAAATTTTTCCTAGTAATAACTTATATTTCAGTACTATTTGAATAGGGAACAGTAACTATGACATTTATAGAGTATTTTACAAAGAAAAATACCCAGAACAATAAAATCTGAGCACACAATAATGAAAAATTCCCAAATAAAATTAAACCCAGACATAAAGGCAACAACGTTACGTGCTTAACTTGGGAAAACATGGGAATTCCTCCCACATGCCACAAATAGCAGCAGTGCGGGTGAAAGGGCACCTTTAGTACATGGCCATACAGTACCTATAACACCTGACTTCTTTGCAAAGCATTGCTTAGTGGAACTGTGCCTATGAAATGAGGAAACAAAATACAAAATGCATTTAGACTAGAGACTCGAGGTCCAGACCTATTTGACGGATCGGGTATCGGCAACACGTAATCCAAGCCTCAAGCCTTTTCCTTATAATGAGCGTCAATGGAGGGGAAAACGCTTAATGTGTGGGGAAGATGGTGGCACAGGAGGTAGTGCTATCGTTCGGTAACTGGAAGGTTGCAGGTTCGATCCCTGGTTTCTCCTGACTCCATCAAAGTGTCCTTGAACAAGACACTGAACCCCAAATTGCTCCCGGTGTGCAGGTTGGTGCCTTGCATGGCAGCCTCCGCCACCAGCGTGTGAATGTGAGGCATAAATTGTAAAGCGCTTTGAGTACTCGTAGGAGTAGAAAAGCACTATATAAATGCAGTCCATATTCCTAGCATTTCGGTTTAGATTTTTTGTCAGGTGAAAGTCTTTATGACCAGATATATGCGTGAGAATTTTGGTGATTTTTGGTGGCTGTCTTGGTACTTAAAGTTACATTAAGCATTTTAGAATGTCCCGAGTGGAGCCGGATTCTGTGACGTGATGATGAAGGGGGGAAGAGAGAGAGAGGGAGAGAGAGGAAAAGAAAAAAGAAAGAAAAAAGGAGAGAAAAGGAAAAAAAAAACAAAACAGATAATCTGCTTCCATGTCTGCTGAAAAGACAAAAACAACATACAACACCTGTACTAACCACAACAACCATCAAACTTTAAATGTTATTGAACAGTACACACAACCCGCATTACAACACATGCCCAGAAGCAACAGCCAGTCAAGACAGTGTGTGTCCGTGAGCACGTGTCTGTGAGCACCTGTGTGCACACCTGTGTGTGTCAGCGCGCCCAGAGGACCAAGGGCCCCCCCACCCCCCAGCCGGGACCCGACAGAGCCGGAAGGACCAGGCCCCGACAGGCAACCGCCGAGAGTGAGTCAGCACACACCAGAGCATCCAGCCCCGGACATCGAGAACCACCAACGCATCGGCAGCCGGGGGCCCCATCCACCAGCAGGGAGTGTGGTGGGGGGCAATAGAGCCTGAGATGTTATTTCAGGTGGAGTCTAAGACCCAACCTGACACATGAGTGTAGACAAACAGGCGCACACATACACAAGCAAACGTTCCCGCCCTCATGCGCACATAAACAAATATTCACCCATGCGCCCAACATGAAGACACAGAAATGGACGCCGTACACACACTCACACTCCCC